CAGCATCTGGCATGTAATAAGTAAACAGCAACTCTTTGTAGAATGAATGACTATATTAATCATTTGTAAATATTCATTTTATGACTTTCTTAGAGAAGGTAGAACACCTTTTACATCTCTATTGTCATTATCTCAATCTCTGCCCTATTGTTTCCTCTGAATAAAAGCATCTAGCTTTGTATCTTATATTTTCTGGTGCATTTGCATCAGTTTTAAATAATTGCCTTGCCTATCCTTGCTGAACTGAATTTATCTCCAGTTCTGCAGTTTCTCGATGACATGTATCATCAGAATGCATCTTCTTCATTAATAGAGCCATCACTTTATGCAATCAAAACTCATATTCCTCCTAAAGATACATTTCTGTGGAAAGTGAACAGATTTTTGTATCTAACATGTATTGAGATAGGAAAACTTGTTCTTCATTACCAATCTGAGGTTGCAAATTAGTACCATAAATTTCAGCTGATTCTTCAAAGTCAGAACATTAGTCAACTAATATTGACCCTAGCTGGTGTCTGGACTTTATCTGATGCCTGAGAAATTAGTCTGTCCCTGTGATAGCCGGTCTCTGCCGTTGTTCCTGTCCAAATTGGCTGTGTCCTTAGGAAGCATCATGGAGCTGAGGCCTATTTCTCAGAGGGCATTGGGTCCGGATGCAGGCAGTACCAGTGTTGGCTGCAGATATTTTTTAGGAAACAAAGAGTTGCCGGCATAATGAGAGGTAAAGCTCTTGGGCTCTAAAACAGGATGATTTCTTTCCAAGGCCTTGCTTGGCTCGAGACCATCTGCATCACTTTAGGGAGGAGAGGCTCAGATCCCTGTGGGAATGCCAACTTTGATTCTGGGCAATTCCTTATGCATGCAGCGACTGGATTCCTTCTTTCAGAAGACGGGAAAACGCGCCTTACCATGTGTCCTTTCATGCCCCTCACAATGACAGTTGGACAGGTTCCTATCACCATTAAGGACACTGTTTCCGAGGCCCACAAAGGCATCTTGGAAGTGGTTAAAATTGCATTCTAGTGCCTAATGTGCAACATGTTGTGTGAGATTGAAGAGTAAAATTTAATTAAAGACCAAAAGCACAGCATGCTCATGTAACTCCGAAGCACAAGGGACTTTAGCCTAAAGAGGGGATACATTCCAGTGAAAAGAACACAACATTACTGTGTTGTTCTTGAAAACTGGATCTGTGGTCCCCATTTTCCAAGGATGGGAAAGTGGCCAGAGCCCGCTCACGCTGCAAGCCGTCCTCCTGGAGCCAAAAGCAAGGGGTCTTGCCTGCTCCAATGTCTCCATTGGTTTTATGGGCATATTTCTCACACCCTGTTCTGCTATTAAAAATAAAATGAGACCCACATCACATGTCTCTCCCAGACTGCAAGACCCATTTCCTTCTAAGCCTCTAGTTTGAATGGGCTTTCCCTACCCTAGAAAGATTAAATCTCCAGAGACTCTCATTATGGATTTCTAGTTTTGTACTTGTTTTTCTTCCTTTCTGCTGTTTTGAAAGAAAATGAAGTTAGGGAATTTTGTCTGCTTCTGCAGTCTCTCTGTCTCTGTCTGTCTGTCTGTTTCTCTCTCTCTCTGTATCTCTTTGTCTCCCTCTACCTGGGAGCCAGGAGCAGATATTTTATGCGAACAAGGAAGGACAGCTTTGTCCTATTTACCTGAAGGCCACAGAAAATAGAGCCTTAAGCTATAAGTGCCTGCCCTGTTCTGGGCTGGGCTGAGGGAAGCCTCCCCGGATACAAACTGCAGATGGAGCAAACCATGGGCACTTGTGTCCTTCAAGACACCATGGGCACTTGTGTCCTTCAAGGTCCCTTCACAGCAGGGCAGTTCTGGTGGGACTCCATCTAGGGTCTGACTTGCTACATCCAGTAGCCCAAGGATGAGGCAGCTCTCTCTGGTGGTGACACAGGCAGCTGAGTGGGGGTTCAAAGGCTCAGCAGCCAAGGCTCTCATTTCCAGGCCATGTTCTCAAACACCCCCAACTAGGACCCTTGTGGTGTCCAGTGTAAGGATACAGGCTGAAGTTCACTGGTAAGATCTAGAGCATGCAGGGAGACCACAAGTCCTGGCTTACAGGTTAGTGCAAGGCTGTGCCCTGATGACCGAAGGCAACCATGCTGTGCAGTCCAGAGACTCAAGGATGAGTCAAAAGGGTTGGGAAGTGGAGATGATGCCTTGGGAAGGAGTGGTCCAGAGAATGAGGGGTGGGCCTGCAGCTGGCCGTCCAGTGACCACAGCCATGGACTCTGGCATTTCCTACTGTTGCATGGTATAGCCTGGCCCCCACACAAGACCCTACTTTAGAGGCTGAAAGGTGATCCCATCTAACCCATTTTTCAGATGAGACAAATGAGGGAGAAGCCTGTCTGAGGACTCAGGGCAGAGCTGGTGTGGCTGCCTCGTGGGCTGACTCCCACTTGAGGAGGCCCTGCCTTGGCATCCACACATCTTCCGCAGTAGGGATCAGGGCTCAGACCACTTGAGACCAGGTTCCCCACTCCAGTGTCTCTGAGCACTGTGAGCTGCAACTTCATGCAGAGCTGAGGCTCAAAGCTCTTTTCAGGCCTTGCGGGACTCGGTAGGGAAACATATGGCTGTTTTAGGTCATCGTGGGCATATTTTCTTGATTCCAAATTTGGACTGGACTAAAATTTGTTTCTGTACCATCGATGGAAAGAAGAGGGTGGTGGACATTGAACAGCAGATTAATAGGGTGTGTAGGAGAACACGGGCTTCCTGTTCTTCTTTGAAACACTTGAATGGTGTCCACAGATTCACAGAATGGAGGGCTGGAGGACCGGGGAGATCTTGCAGCCAACCCAGCTCATTTTACACATGAACAAACTGAGGCCTCTGGGTTTGGCTGCAGACCCAATCAGCTAATATGCCTGGCTGGGAGCCTAGGGTCCCAGCACACAGGCTGGTCTTCTCCCGGCTGAAGCTTACATTTAGTCGCAGAGAGCATCCAGCACGATGGATTCGTATTGCACAGGAATATACTACTCATATATGATCTTTATCTATTTAGATTCATCATCCATTGCACAGCTGTCCGTCCTGTGCCTTCTGCGGAGTGTGGGTGGGGAACAGACAGCGATAAAAGAAGCATGGAAGGAGCTTTCAGCTCAGAGGAGAAGCCAGCCATGGCACTTCTAGATGGGGCATGCCACCTGTCATGTGAAAGAACGAATGCCCTGCCGAATGGTCAGGAGAAAGGGAGATGACTTGGCTCTGGTGAGGAAAGACATTTCTGTGGAATCCATGGCCCTTGGTTTGGCTTTGAAGGATGGGTTTGACTTTGGGTAGAAAAGGAGGAAGGGAAGATGTTTCAGGCAAAAGGACTGGTTGTGATAGGGTAGCCATCTGAAAAACAGCCCCAAAAATGTCAGGTCTTAATTCCTGGACCGGTAAATGTAACCTTGCATAAAGGTCTTCGAAGATGGGATTAAATTCAGGATTTTGAAATGGGAGAGATTATCCTGGCATATCTGGGTGGCCACTAAATGCCAACATAATTGTCCTTATAAGAGGGAGGGGAAGGTGGAGACTGGAGTGATGTGGCCATAAGCCAAGGAATGCCGGCACCCACCAGAAGCTGGAAGAGACCGAGAATGGATTCCCCCTAGAGGCTTCCCAAGGAGCTTAGGTATGCTGACTCTTTGATTGTGATCTAGTGATACTGATTTTGGACCTTCAGCCTCCAGATTGTGAGAGAATATATTTTAAGCTAATATGAAGAGCAAAGAGCGAAGCCTGTTTGGGAATGGGTCTGTGGTTCAGATGCCTGACTGTGTACCAGCATTTGGTGAGGTTGCAAGTAAACGAGTTAGGGCCAAATGTCTTGTATTAGTCGAGGAGAGACAGGAAGTTTCCAAATATATCTCACCAATCTAGCCGGAGTCTGGAGCTGAGGAGGAGAATCACGATGCTTAGTGGGTCATCTTTATTTCTCCGTATTTGTTAATACAGCGCTCCTCACATAATAGGAAGTCGATACTTGTTGCGTGGCGTGGTGAATAATGGCAGCTGCCTTATCTGGGCTTGCACTGGGTTTATTGATGAAAAATCAAGCCTGCTCTAGGTCTGGTGTACTTAGATATGATTAATGAACCGCTCATCTTCAAACTGTGACCTGCAGTTCCGTGTGTCATGTATCACGGGGTGTGATGTGTTAGGAAATGCTCAGCCAACCCGGGATTGTGGTGCAGCAGCTGTGGGGGAAGGGGCTCTGGGTGGAATTCAGAGCAACTCTGGTTTGGGGTAACAAGATGGGAGATCACCTGCAGAGTGAAATGGCCCTTATTGATAGCAGAGTCAAGTTCTCTGCTAGCCCCAGACAAAGTGATTAAATATGCCTTTTGAGTTTTCATGACACTCTTATTGATCTGAGGTTGTTTATAGCCATAAACTACCTGTAAATTAGGGGAATGAAATAAAAACAGCAGGATGCTTAACTCCTATCCTCCTCTGAGGTTGAAAAAGCTTTCTGCACAGCTCCTGCAACAGCAGGGATCTGAAATATATCTGCAAAGGGGAATCTTATTCTCTTTTCCTCCTAAAGGCTGGCATTAAGAGGCAGTTTTCTCCTCACAACTGAAACCTAATCCTCGTCTTTGCTCAGAAAGTATCCTTGGTTAACGTGATCCTCTGCTGGAATCACTGTCTAATTGTGTGCCTACCACAGTGTTATAGGAAACTCAGAGCCAGCTACCGCTTCCCTCTCTTCCCTTTTCCTTCCCTTTTCCTTTCTTCTTCTTTTCTCCCTTCCTGTCCCCACCCTTCCATTTCCTTTTTTTCTATTTCTTTTGTTCTTTTCTTCCTTTCTTTTCTTTTGTTCTTCCTTTGGCCTCCCTTTGATCTGATTAAAGGATTTTGACATAACACTATTTGTTAGTGGAGTTATCGGTAGACAATCACTTATAATTTCAATGCAATAAACCTACCCCTGTGACCATTGGACTTTCTTTGCTTTCTCCTTGTAGAAATCCGAGAGGCCTTTCGTGTTCTGGACCGAGATGGGAATGGCTTCATCTCCAAGCAGGAGTTGGGCATGGCCATGCGCTCTTTGGGGTATATGCCGAGTGAAGTGGAGCTGGCCATCATCATGCAGCGCTTGGACATGGACGGTAAGATCCGGATAAGAAGCTTCTCCCCTGAGATGAGCCCTGTCTCGTCAATGAAACCTTTGGGTTAAAAGGGCTTTGTACTTTGAGTCAACAGACCTGGGTTTAGGTCTTGGTTTACATTTGAGTAGAAACTTGGACTAGTCCAGGGTTTTTCAAACAACCTTCCATAGAACTATAAGGGCAGGAAGAGGTGCTTTTGGGGCCATGATAGGAGTGGAGTGATGAAGGAGTTCTCACTGGCAGAGCAGTTAAAGCATTCCCTTTTCCTTGGCCTTTTGTTAAAAGCAGCTTTGTTGAGATAGAATTTGCAAACCATACAATTCACACATGATGGGTGGGTGGCTCACACATGTAATTCAGATGCTTTGGGAGGTCAAAATCAGAGGATTGCTTGAGGCTCGGAATTCAAGACCAAGGTTGGGCAGTGTGGGGCTCCTTTTCTACCAAAAAAAAAAAAAAACCACAGAAATGAAGAACTGAATACCCCATGTTCTCACTCATAAGCGGACCCTGAACAATTATCATAATGTTACAAGAAAGGGATTGGCAGTAGTGGGAAACTGCTGGGGGTGAGGGGGAGAGGCATACTTCATTAATAAGCGTACCTGATCTCAAACCATGATCATCTGTATACCTAACCCTGAATTGTACCCTACATCTTAAAAATAAAATTTAAAAAACCCCACACATTTAAAGTGTACAATTGGGTAGCTTTTTGTAGACTCACAGATTTGTGCAACCAATGTTATAGTCAATTTTAGAACGATTTCATTACTCCAAAAAGAAACTCTGCATTCTTAGCCATCATCTCTCAATCCCTCTATCCCTCCAAGCCCGAGGCATCCACTAATCTACTTTCTGCTTCTATAGAGTTGCCTCTTTTGGATATTTCCTATAAAAGGAATCATACAATATGCAATTCTTCTGACTGCCTTCTCTCGGTGTAATGGGCAAGGTTTACCCGTGTTGTCGCAATTATCATTATTTCATTTCCTTTTACGGCCAAATTATGTTCCATTGTATGGACAGAAAGCCTCTTTTATGTCTGGTTTTTTACATACTGGGTTTCTGCATATAACCTCACTGAGGAAAAGGGTTTCCTGGTTTTTAAAAAGTTTTGAAAAGTGACTGCATTAGATAATTTGTAAGTTTCTTTCCTGCACTAAAACCCTAAACTCTATCCCAAACCAGCTGTGATCCTTCTGACATTTAGATCCTGCGTTGGCTAAAGTTCCAGGAGGGAACCTTCTTAATTTGTTTTGTCAACAAATTAAGTTTTATCTGCCTGAAAAACAGCTTAATTCCAGGTATAAGGTGTCCAGAGCTGTGAGCTTTTGGCAATCTCGAGTCCAGCTTGAAGTATAGACCAAATTAAAAGAACAAGAAGGGAAGGACAGAAAATCTCTTTGGAGGAATAGACCAAGGTCATGACAGGGAGATATTTGCTTGGTCTGCAGGCTAGTTGCAGGAGCATTATTCTCTTGCTGGACTTGGACTTGTTGGGAAGATGGATAATAAGGATGACCATATGGTGAATGGACCCCAGGGCCAACTGCCAAGTGCAGCTGTAGACATTTATTTTCTGGTTCAAGATAGAGATGTTTTATTCGGGGTATTCAGTTATATGAGCAGTCCCGGCTTGTCCTCTCAACTCTGATTGATTGTGACTCACCGTGTCTTTGCAGACCTGATTTGACCTTGCTTGTATTTTAGAGACATTTCTGAAAAACTAGAGCAAAGAACATATTTCTTTTTGTTATTTTTTTTTTTTTTTTTGAGTTGAAGTCTCACTCCATCGCCCAGACTGGAGTGTAGTGGTTGCTCCCGGCCACTGCAGCCTCGACCTGCTGGGCTCCGGCGATCCTTCTGCCTCAGCCTTCTGAGTAGCTGAAACTACAGGTGCACGCTACCACACCTGGCTAATTTTTGATTTATTGTAGAGATGAGGTCTCGCCAAGTTGCCCAGGGGGGTCTCGAACCCGCGGGCTCAGGCAATCCACTCACCTCAGCCTCCCAAAGGCACAGGATTACAGGCTGAGTCACCGAGCCCAGCTTGAGCAAAGAACATATTTCATACCAAGATCTCTCTTCCATTGACTTCCATCATCATAGCAGAGATGCAATTGTAGGGAAAAAAAATCTACTTAAAATAATAAAAATTGTAACCGATACCTCTGTTTATGGAACTAAGAAGGTTTTGGGCTTTTGATTTTCCTCATACAACTCTTATTTTTTTAAAAATCCAGTTAAATAGACTAAATGCAAATGGAATTAGCAACTTTAATAAAAACGAGTTTGTTTTATTGTGAAAATCTATTCCTATAAGTTATTGCTAGTTATGTCTAGAAGTTACTCCTGTAATTATGGGGTCATTATTCCCATAAGATTTAAAGGTCTTCATCAAAGTCCATCCTTGTCCTTCGTGTATTCTCTCACTGGACTCCAGCTTAAGGGGAAATTTTTACATGACTGCAAATCTTCCCTGATTCTACGAGGGCTTGGAGTCCCTAGGACCTCCTGTGATGATATTTTTCAAGGAGCTCATCAGGGCTCAGGCAAGAGCTTCATCGGGGATGCAGTATAAGAGATTTCAAGTTTCGCCAATTTATTTGCAACTCATCATACTCAGCTACCAATGCTGAAAGCAGAACTTACGAGCAAATCTTGTGGAGAATTTCGATTAGTTCCTTTAACAAAAACCCAAGTCATCAACTATTTCACAGTGACCCATCAGGTAAAAATCACATTTCTTTTTGAAGCACAGCTTCCTTCAAGTTTTGTTTTGTTGCCTACAAAAGATTTAGTACAAAATGTGTGAAAATAATGCAGCAGTGTAGGCAAAAGGAATTGCCTACACAATTTATAAAATCCCTAAGTGTGAAAAGAGCTAAGTGAAAAATGCCCGGTCTAAGGTTGAGATGCGTGTCTTTAAGTGTTCTGGAAATGATGCCAATAAGTGGAATTTCTGAGTTACCCAGGTTCTGGATGGATGGATTGACTGGCTTTCAGTGTCCTTCTCTTAACGGGGCCTTTTGAGCTGTTCTGTTAAAAAAAAAAAAATCAAGTTCTAATTATATCCTTCCTTCCTCGCTTCTGTAACTAGGGATCCTCCAGAGATTCGGGTCTACCTAATTAAGTTTCTCTTTGGTGTGGAACATGTGGAATGGCAGAGATTTTTATGGGGATGATGCCAAAAATAAAAATAAAAAAGAGTGTTTGGAGCAGGGCTTAGGATTCTTAGCTGTAGACGACCATGCCTCCTGGCCCCTATACCCTGGTATCCAGTAGCAGCAGTAGAGGTGGTGCTGGTGCCTCTGTCCATCCCAGCTGGCTGCGATTAGGAACAAGTCTGGCCCACACACTGCTCTTCTCTTTCTGGGGTCCCTGCCGGTCTGCCTGACGGTGAGGTCATCTCTTCGGCAGGAGGCCCAGCTGGAATTAGCCTGAGTTTGTCTGTGCAACCCAAGTTGACACATGAGGTTTTCATTAGGTGGTGTCTTGGGCCGCAGGGGGGCTGCCTTGCCAGCTACGCATGGAGCAGTCACCTCCCTGGATTAGGGATTTTGCCTGGATTTCCTGGACACAGACCCAGCCAGACAGTGCCAGAGACAGAATGGAAGGCAGGCAGGAGCGTCTGGGATTGCTCTCCTGGCCTTTAGCCAATTTGCCCTCAGTGGTGAGACTGACTGTGTGTGTGTGTGTGTGTGTGTGCGCGCGCGTGCATGTGCCAAGTAGGCTGAACTACTCAGAGTTAAATAAACAAAATTTCCGAACTTCCACCCAATGCCTAGGGCTTCTTCTTTGGCTCATTATTCGAGGATTCTTTCTTGGAACTTTAACTCAGTTCTCTATTCCCTTGTGCTCAGTGCTAGAGTCCTCTTTCTTCAGCCTCTGCCGCTCAGGTGACTTTTACTCTTGAACCAGATGAGGGCCAGGATTCACCATTCCTGGATGCTTTTTGCCAGGATTTCTCCATCAGGAGCCTATACTTCTTCTCACCAGGCTTCTTGAGACATTTCAGTCTAGTTTCCAAGGTAGCCACTGCATGTCAGGAATCAGCTTCTCTTCTATGTATCATATTAGTTATGCACCATACTTGGAAGAATTGATACAACTGTCACTAAAAAAGAAAAAAAAAAAAAGATCTCCAAAGCTGAATTCTTTCATAGAAGCAGTTTGAGAATAGCTGCTTAGAAATCACTGTGGGCTCTGCTATATGCCATTTGCTCCCCTCAGTTTCGTGGTCCTCATAGCAGTTGCTGGGGCCATCAGCACTTCCTGCATCATTCACTGGGTAATAAGGGCTTGCTATCTTCAAGAACCAAGGAATATTTTTGACTGCTTTCTGCATTTTCAGTGGTTTCAATAACCACACTACTACAGCGATCCAGATAGTTTTTCAAATAGTTTCCTGAAACAATCAAGCCAGGAGATGTTCTCAGCAGCGCGAGGCACTTACATCGGCCCCGTTCACGCTTCCTAATGCAATCCTCTCCTCTTTCAAGTTCTCCTCGCTTCTCCTGTGCTCAGAGAAGAAAGATCCCTCTTTAAAACAAATGCAGACCTTGCCTTGCCCTCTTTCTCCTTGATTTGCCTTCTACTCCTCAGTGATGTAGAGAATCTCACGCTATTCTAACAAATTTTGTCTGTGCTTTGAAATATATATATATATATATTTTTTTTGAGTCGGAGTCTCACTCTGTCACCCAGACTGGAGTGCAGTGACCACTCCTGGCCACCGCAGCCTCAACCTGCTGGGCTCCGGCGATAACTTCCGCCTCAGCCTTCCAAGTAGCCGGAATTACAGGCGTGTGCTACCACGCCTGGCTGATTTTTTGATTTATTGTAGAGATGAGCTCTCACTGCCCAGGCGAGTCTCAAACCCATGGGCTCGGGCAATCCACTCACCTCAGCCTCCCAAAGGCGCGGGATTACAGCTGAGCCACTGAGCCCGGCTCTGAAATGTATTCTTATTGCTCCATACATTTATAGTTTTTTGT